GCACGATCAGGGGCCTGTTGTCGTCATCATGGCTGTTGCTGATTATAAGAGGTATCTCGCTGAGAATGTTCTCAATGAGCGACGCACGGTGAGCCCTGTCTAATGTGCTGCAAGCTGGATATCTTCTAACAGCTTCGGCGCATACTACAGGTCACCTACCGGTCTTTAGGTCGAGCCCTTCGGGTTCATAGTACCCTGGCCAAGCAGTATGTCTTATACGAATAACACGAAGATATGCATATGGATTATTCTGATTGTTATCGGAAAGGATGCTTTTCGATTTTCATCGCAACGAGAACAACAAGAAGCCAAACAGCGTCAATGCGACTTACATTCTCACGGGGATCCAGAAAGCGCCCGAGACCCCTTCCACAACGAATGGCCTTCAGGACAGCTTCGGTGGCATTCCCCAGAGCAGCCCGTACATCAGCAGTTCAATGCCGAACCAGGATGTCGCTAGGGATGAGATCGCCATGTCCTCGGTTGTGCTTGTACGAGAGGAAGACTTGGAGGGTACGTGGAATTGCTTCCATTGCGTTGCGCAAAGGGTGGGGTCTGATAATTGAGTGCGCAGATGCCAAGGCGACTTTCCAATCAATTTCCTCGATATACATCTACAGCCTTCAGCCAACAGTGCTTCAGGATCTCAACGTCTTGACAGATGTTGCGGGAGAGATGATCGCCAAGCATGCTCAGGAGGATCCCTTAGAATACGGCAAGACCTGGGGCATGATCCAGGGCAACAATGTCCGGGTAAGGAGTGCGCTTGCATTTCCGTATTCCTATGATACTGATGAGATTGTACTACAGAGAAGAACCGGCGGTCGCCCTCCCGTACCAGCTCCCGCTCAGGCTCCAGCTCTTCCTAAGGCGACTATTCCAGCTAAGCGTCCTGTTAAGGAAGAAGAAACACCACAACCCAAGAAAGAACCTGAAGACAAGGCCCCGAAGATGGAGACAACGGCCAAACGCGAGGAACCTCCAGCGTCTAAGCCAACTGAGAAGACAGCTCCTCCAAAGCAAAAGGGCAGTATTTTCAGCTCTTTTGCAAAGGCCAAGCCGAAGCAGAAAAAGGAAGAATCAGCAACGCCGGCCACTTCGGCTGCCGAATCGGTCAGTTCTAATTTACCCTAATGCTTTGTATTGAATTGACTGACAAACATATAGGCCGAACCCAGTGCTGCTGAAGATGGTGAGTACTCACTGTCTTTCTTGAAATCTTACACATACTGATAAGTAGCAGTGGTTCTAGACGACGCATCAGACGGGGATGAGGAGCCCGAGGAGCTCTTCCGAGACTCAGGGAAGTCCGCGTCTGCCGGTACACGTGAGTCGCGTAAAGAGCGTGAAGAGAGGCTCAGAAAGATGATGGAGGATGATGGTACGTTACCTCCTTATTGTCGGTAACTCTTCTGACTGGTATCAGATGAAGACGAAGACGAAGAAATGCCCGATGCTGCACCGTCACCGGAAGAGTCTAAGCCTATTGACGAGCCGCCGCCGCCGAAACAGGCTGAGCTCAAGGAAGAAGTCACAGTCAAAGGCGGTCGTCGCAGAGGCAGGCGCCAAGTCATGAAGAAAAAGACAGTCAAGGACGATGAGGGCTATCTTGGTAAGATTATCGAATGATAACTGATTGTGACAACAGCTGACTGATTGGTGCTTAGTCACTGTTGAGGAACCAAGCTGGGAGTCATTCTCAGAGGACGAGCCAGCACCGCCTCCCAAGAAGAAGCCCGCTGTGAGTGCGCCCAAGGGCAAACCAGCAGCGAAACCGGGACAGGGAAGCATCATGTCCTTCTTCTCGAAGAAGTGAACAGTTCTTGGATAAATGGACCTTTTCGAAGCCACGCCATGACCGAGACGCTTTTCTGCTTATAGTACTCAGACACCTTATTCAGAGGGTTGTCTGTGATATACAGTGGATGACTAGTACGCTTCAGCACTCCCAAGAAGCCATTCCCACATGCAGTGCAGTGACCCGGTCAAGCCCGGGCACCTCCGCGTCAACCCAGACTAGTTTTCACCCCTGTTATACCCATATTTGGTACGATGCAGTGAACTGCTTGTTACGAGTCATCAAAATTTGGTCTGCTGTTTCTCTCTATCCCAATGCTTATACAATCTTCTGCATACAGCGCTGCATCTATAGTATATAGCTTCATTGTGTTTCCTCGACAGGCATGGCATTTCCCGCCCACGTAATACGCCCAGTACATGTACTATTAGGTAGAGCTTTGACTGAACAAATATTGGCAAGCATTTGCAGCGTTCCTGAGTGTACCCTCATTTGAATTGAACAATATTCTTCAAAGAATTCATCGTCATGAGTGCGGCTGGCTCTGTAGGCAGAGATGACAGCCAGGAGCGAATCCATCATTACTCTACTATGTCAGGGAGACAAGATTCCAATTCTGGGCCAAAGTCAATGCTTCGGAGCGTAGGGGGATAGCGTCCAAGTTTTGCTTAAGCGAATATCGGCCTGGGATGTGATCGACGAGGTAGTGCCGACATTTAATATAAAAGAGTGTCAGGCGATTACGGTAAAAACCCTTGAGCCATCGGCTGATCAAGGCATCTGAGAGTCGGCGAATAAGTCGAGCGAAGAAGTAGACATGACAAAGCTAGTAAGTGTATAAACCCAGATAGCAATGGATGCAAATCGTGACCTGCAATGAGTTGATTAATTGCCATGAAGTATGTGCATTCCGGAGGGTTCAAAGGCATCCTGCAGGGCAAGAGTGAGTTGGTATGATGGGTGGGAAATACTGCCGGGAATCCGGGGGATCAGCGAGGAAATCGGCTGTTTGCGATCTTCTTCCCCGCATTCCCCTGCCTTCCCCTGTCATCCCCCCAACCCGTCCACTTCAAAACATGCCATTGTTCCCCCTAATTCTTTTTCAATGGTCAATGGCACACTGTTTCGACCTTCCGGCCTCATAAGTCAAAACTCACCATCAGTGACAACCGCTAACCAGCCGTCAAGATGCGCTCGTTGTCGCTGGCCGTAACCCTCGCCGCCGGCTTGAGTGCAAGGGGAGCTGCAGCTCGCGATGAGCCTTCCATTCTGCGTCGGGCTTGTCCAGACTACACCTCTTATGCTTCTACTGGACAGTAAGGGATTAGCTACTTGAAACAACGTTTGTGACAGCCCGCTCATACTCTTCTTCAACTCAGTGCCCCATACAGCGGTGGTCCTCTGAATCTGCCCTACCAAAGACCCGCCGCAGAATGTCGGACCTTTGTCTCAAACGCAGTAGAGCAAGTCATCGACGATGTGACCTCGCGCATGGTAGACAAAGACATGGCTCAGCTGTTTCGCAATGCCTTCCCCAACACACTGGACACAACCATTCGCTGGCATGTCAATAGCACGTCCACTAGTACTTCCTCCTCTCGGAAGATGAGACGAGACAGTTCGCAATGGCAAGGAGCTCAGACTTTCGTCGTGACTGGAGACATCAACGCAGAGTGGCTGCGCGACTCGACAAATCAGCTGACAGGCTATCAAACACTGGCAAAGAAGGATCCTGCTCTCTACAGTCTCATTCTCGGAGCCATTCATACGCAGGCTGAGTTCGTCATTCAATCACCCTACTGCAACGCGTTCCAGCCTCCTCCACCCAGTGGGATTCAAGCAACAAGCAACGGCCAGCAAGATACCGTCCATCCAGCATATGAGCCCTCTGTTGTCTACGAATGCAAATACGAGCTCGACTCCTTGGCCAACTTCCTCGCTCTGGGCAACGAATTCTACGAAAACACCGGATCCACCGAATTCCTCACCAGCCGGTGGTATCTCGCCCTGGATACACTCCTGAACACCACCGACGCCCAGTCCCAGCCAACCTTCAACAGCAACCACCAGTATGTCCAGAACCAGTACACCTTCCAGCGCCAGACAACTCTCGGCACGGAAACCCTCAATCTGGCCGGGATCGGGAACCCGCTCAACGGAGGCACCGGACTCATCCGCAGCGCATTCCGTCCCAGCGATGACGCCACGATCCTGGGCTTCTTCATCCCAGCCAATGCCATGATGTCCGTGCAATTGAAGAAGACCGCGGATCTGATCCGCGCAGCTGGCGGCGACTCGACCCTCGCATCCAATCTCCAGACCCGCGGAGAGAACCTCGAGCAAGCCGTCCGCCAACATGGCATTTTCAACCACCCAAAGTACGGCGATGTCTACGCCTTCGAAGTAGACGGATACGGCTCGCGCATCTTCATGGACGACGCGAACATTCCATCCCTTCTAGCTCTACCCTACTTAGGCTTCGTCGATAAGTCCGATCAAGTCTACCAAAACACCCGCAAGATGATCCTCGACCCTAACGGAAACCCATACTATCTTACTGGATCGGACTTTCACGGCATCGGTGGACCTCACAGTAAGCAATGCCCGAACCCTAGAACTTTGAAATCAGAAAAGCTAACACAGACGCATTAGTTGGTCTCGAGAACGCCTGGCCAATGTCCCTCCTCGTCCAGGCACTAACAACCGACAACGTAACGGAGATCACCGATTCTCTAAATCTAGTCCGCAACTCCAGTCTCCTGGGTTTAGTCCACGAGTCCATCGATGTCAACAACATCAAATCATACACGAGACCGTGGTTCGCGTGGGCGAACTCTGTCTTTTCTCAGACTATATTGAAGGTCGCGGCTGAACAGCCTGAAGTTCTATTCGGAGATGGAGCGGAGCCGTATGTCATTTCTTAGATGCTTGCTACTCCCATCACTTTGATTAGCATAGCGTGTGCATAGTGCGATGTGCTATAATATACCCGGTTATGTTTATTCATGAACTCTCTGAGAGAGTCCTATATCAACATCGACATCAATATTGTAGTTAAAGTGGACATTCACATTGACATAAAACTTAGTAACCTTCATTCCACACAATGCAAACTAAGTACTACAGTATATATACTATACGCTCCATACAACCCCCCACCAACGACTCATACAACATAACCCTCTAAAATACTACGTATTATCTACACCAACACCCTCCTCAACCCTTCCGTCCCCCCAAGCACTCTCCTCCCTGTAACCGGACACCTTCCCTTCCCACTCTCCCACTTCCCGCGTCTACTCCTCGACTTCTTCATCTCCTCTTCATCACCATCCCCACCCTTATGCTCCCCCTCACCCCCTTCCAAATCATCATCCGCCCACGCCGCGCCCGCACCCTCCCCATTCATGAAATCCAGCTGTCGCTGATGCTCCCCATTCAACCAATGGAAGATACACACGTAGCAGAAAACATACCCCGTCTGACACGCCGTAGGGTTCGTAAGCGCATTCAAACAGATCGGGCACGCGGACGCGACATCCGAGTCTGGCGGGGGAAGTGGCACGGTGAAGATGGGTAGGTATGAGGTTGCTGAGATGGGGGGTTGAATGCGTGTGCGTGCTGGCGGGGTTGATTTGAGTGCTGATTTGAGGGTTGGGGATGATGGTTGCTGCTGTTGCTGCTGCTGCTGCTGTTGTTGTTTCTCGGCGGCGGCTGCCTTACGCTTCTCCGAGGGAGGGGTCATTCCTGTTGCAACGGGGACAGGGAGGTCCAAGACCTCGGTTGCTTTGCGGGCGAGTTGGCGCGAGAAGTCACTTGCGTGCCACCATTCGAGGAACTTGAGGGCGAAGATTGACGCCGGGAGGAAGTAGCGGAGGGAGGTGAGGAGTTGGGGGTAGAGGTTCTGGGGGCTGAGGAGGCCCAGGAGGCCGGAGCCGGGGCGGGTGCGGGCGCCTGCGCCGCCGGGACCAGATCCGGGAGTGGGCTTGGGGTCGAGGATGGAGGCGATGGCGCGGTGGTCTGCGGAGCTGAGACGGCGGATGCGGGTGCCGATGAGCCAGAGGAAGGGAGAGGAGTATTTGGTGTTGTCGAAGAGGTAGGCGAGGTTGAAGGCGAGGATGGAGAAGTAGTAAGCGGCGTTGACGGAGGGGTAGACGTTGCGGAGGAACCACTTGTAGTAGTGGAGGAGACGTTGGCGGATTGTTGGGTTTGGAGGGAGGTCGTCGCCTGGGTTGTAGCGAGGACCGCCGCTCATGATTAGGGATGCTTGCGGTGCGGCGTGGATGTCGTAGCCTTCGTCGAGCTTGCGCTTTAGGTAGGGGATGCCGACGAGAACGAGGAGGTTCTTCCAGACGTCGGAGGTGCGGAGCTTGAGGGCTTCGCGGACGGGGCCTGGGGCGCCGAGTTGGGCGCGAGGGATCTCGCCATTCTTGGTGAGGAGGACTCGTTCGCGTTTGAGCGAGTAGAAGTTCTCTGTGAAGGAGCCGCCGAAGGTGCGGAGGTAGTAGCGTTCGACGACGAGGGAGAGGAGCGCGTAGATCTCGTCGTAGGAGTTGAGGATTCGGAGGAGGTATCGTGGATGACGGTGGGTCGCGACGGCGAGGATGTATCGGATTGAAGGGGGGAGAAGGTCGGAGAGCTGTTGTTCGGCGAGCAGCTCTGCGATGGGATGAGGGTTAGTCGAGAGGTCGTTGAGATGGTTTGGGGTGTGCGATAAGGCACGTACCGAACAGCGATGGCTTCAGCTCATCGAATTCTTGCTGCAGACTGGGAAGGTACTCCATGATGGCAGCAGAAGGCCAGTCATTGGCCCCTAGGTGGAAGAAGCAGTTGGGATGGGGGGACTGGGTGGAGGATGGAGAGAATGCGGAGGTGCAGCAGCTGCTGCTGCGGTGGATGTCAATCCGATGGCGGCGAGTTGAGCCGAGGCTTATCGGCACCCGTCAGCCAGGTGCGGATCCACCGTCACATTCACATCCAGCCACTGCTACTTTACTGCATAACAAGAGGGAATTGGGATTGTGTTATTTATTAGTACAGTGTCGAGTATTTACAATGACTTTATGGGGCATCATTTTAGCATCTTCATCTGGCATGCGTTCCAGAATCGGACCAGATTGCTCGTCGAACCTTCCGCGGCCTTTTGCACAATATCTGGATCGGCAAGCAAAAGGCAGCGCTTGATATCTACCAGGAGCTCTCCCTCGAGGGGTATCGGATTTTCCTCTCTCCTCATCATCGGAATCCATGTTGATACGCAGTCCCGGGCACGGAGTTCATCTCCCAGATCAGCATGCAAACGGAACAACATCTTGTAGTCAGCAGCGGTGCGCAGACTTCCATTAAGGGGACCCTTGCGCCACAACTTCCAAAAGCCATTGTAGTCGCCGTGCTGGAAAAGCGATAGCATAAGGCTGCGGGCTTGCTCCGGTTCAAAGGGTAGGTCAAGGGTGTCGATTAGGCGAGACACCCGATAAAGAGCGCTTTTATGTTCAGCCTGTGCATCATTTGCTCCGTCTGGTACAGTGGTGGACGGGGAATTGGCAACGGCTCGATAAATCATGTCGAACACTTTCATATTGACAACATTGGTGCCGCGCAGAGAAAGATGTTCAAGCACAAGGAGAGCTAATTCCTGGTCCGCTTCCGGAACTTGCCCTGCAACGTCCTCAGGGCTAGTCCCTGCTAGTCGGGGAGATAACAAGGCTGAAACAACTGAAAATGCTAGATCATCAGATACTGAACAACCAGCGCATGTACATTCTGTGAACGCTGAATATAAACCCCGCTTTGAATACCCCGGGTGCTGTCTGGCAATCGCGTTGCAGAATAGGACGAGACGAGCTGTTGCTCTCTCTACCGCCGTGCTGATTGATAACAGATCATGAAATAGGCGCATGAATAGTGTAGAGTCATTATCTTCCGGTCCCTCTCCTAGTTCGATCCTGGCCTGAACGTCGGATAGTTTTGAGAGGTGGTCAAATAGTGCATCCATTGAGCGGGTTGTCTTTCCATTGTCGCTATGATCATGGTCTCGAAGTAAAGACGAAGGCTGGGAATCCAGAGTTACTTCCGTATCTTCTGCATGGATCGCTGCACGGTCGAAGTGTTGGCTTGCGGGACGACGGTTGGTGTGAAGCAGCCTCTTCTGTCCGAACAAAGGGCTAGTGGGAAACCTGGAGGCATGGCCGAACTCACGGTCAGATGGTGATACGTTTATCGAATTGGAAGCACGAACCTCTTCGGAAGGTGCGGCTGAATTAACCTGGGAAATCCTTTGTTTCTCTCTTTCGGATCGGTCCAGCGCCTTCTGCCAAAGGCTCTCAAGATCGACTTCGGCTCTCTTTTCTTCTGTGAACATCTGCACAACAACCCTAGTGCCGGTGGCAGTGTGGCCAAATCCTTCAAAACTATAATTCTCATCCTTCTGGACTGGCGTTTCCTCTACCACACCAGCATTGACACAGATCCAGCCTGTCGTGATCCCATCGTCCTTTTCGTCAAACATAGTACCAGACCTGCTGGCGAGCCTAGCACGCCGAGCTTTTCTCCGGAGCTTGATCTTCAATTCATTCCGACCCAGGAGTCCATCAGCGTAGGGAGATAGCTTATAGGTACTTCTCAACCAGCGGCAAAGACGATCTGCGGACACATTCAAGTGCTTGACACTGCGAGCAGTTCCAATTATCATAATCACGTTGGCACCGAGAGCTGGCGGAGTTTCCAATCCGCGCAAATCAATCAACTTCAATTCATCGAGACCAATGTCCTTGAACACGTAGTCGAGGAGTGCAGGGAGGATAGCTGGAGGATTCTCCGGCAGATCGGGAATCTGATCTCGCGAAGTTGTCTGCCGTGACTCGGGCACAGGTGCTTCTTCCTGTAGATACCATGGGATGTGAGGGGTGCTCTCCGACGCGGAGTTCGCTGTCGGTTCTTCTTTCAGCTCAGATGCTGGTGGCACTGCAGAGGACGAGGATGAAGGTTGCTCAGAGCGGAGGCAAGATACTGAAGCAAAAGCTCGATTGACGGGGTGAATGGTCGACCGGTATAACGCGGCGCGAGAGACGGAAGGAGGCGCGCGAAGTGCTGTCCTGGAGGACCAGGCAGCTCTCAACAATGCCCTGTTCATGATGGTCAATATTGCCGCAGTAATGGTACCAAACGAGAGCTCGACAGCTTTCTTCGCAGTGGCGACAAGCAGCGCAATTGGGGAAGCTGCTGAGAGACAAACAAGACAAACACTGACTAAGGATGGAGTCAGCAAGCAAACAGAGCAAACAAAAAGTTCTCGCGGCGGGGCAAATATTGATCCTCATGACAAATCTAAATTTCGCTTCATCATTCAGCGAGCAGGAGTCGCCGGCTCTTCTATCTTTCCTCTCTTTACCCTTTTGTTTATCTGGTGTCAGGCCTCATCCCTGCTTCCAACATGTCGATGGACCTGGATGCGCCGGTGCCTTTCGAGGCCCCGCAGGAACAGATCGCTGCGACGTGAGTTACCCCGCAAATCGAAAGAAAAATTTCCCTGTAAACATACATGAGGGCAATATTGATCGGGGACCTTAACTAACAACATCGCTTTTTAGTATCCTTTGTTGCAACTGTGGCGCGCCTATCGATGGAACAACATCCGCTGGTGCCCTTTGTCAGGACTGTGTGAAGTTGACGGTTGATATCTCCCAAGGCATCCAGAGAGAGGCAGTTCTTCACTGCTGCAAGGACTGCGAGCGGTGGCTCCAGCCCCCCACCAGCTGGGTTAGTGCTGCGCTCGAATCAAAGGAACTTCTCGCACACTGCTTGCGCAAGCTCCGCGGCTTGTCCAAGGTCCGCATTATCGATGCCAGCTTTATCTGGACCGAACCCCACTCGAAACGTATCAAGGTCAAGATCACCATCCAGCAGGAGGCGTTCCAGGGCACCATTGTGCAGCAGACTTTCGAGGTTGAATACGTTGTCGCCTCGCTACAATGCCCTGACTGCAAGAAGTCGTTCACTGTCAACACTTGGAACTCTAGCATTCAGCTGCGTCAGAAGGTGCCTCACAAGCGAACCTTCTTGTACCTTGAGCAGATCATCCTCAAGCACAACGCTCACCGCGATACAATCAACATCAAGGAGGCCAAGGACGGTTTGGATTTCTACTTTGCGCAGAGGAACCATGCGGAGAAGATGGTCGAGTTCCTTTCCTCCGTCGTCCCCACCAAGGTCAAGAAGTCGCAGGAGCTGATCTCCATGGATATCCACACCTCCACGAAGTCTTACAAGTTCACCTTCTCGATCGAGTTGATTCCTATCTGCAAGGATGATTTGGTTGCGCTGCCCATTAAGCTTGCCAGATCGCTGGGCAACATCTCGCCCCTGGCCCTCTGCTACCGCGTCGGTACCTCTGTCAACCTTCTCGACCCTAACACCCTTCAGACCGCCGATGTCCCGACAAACACCTACTGGAGATCGCCCTTCAGGAGTCTGGCGGATGTGACGGAGCTGACCGAGTTCATCATCATGGACATTGAACTGGTTGGACGGTCGAACGGACGGTACTATCTGGCCGAGGCAACCGTTGCCCGTGCTTCGGACCTTGGCTCGAACGATCAAACCTATTTCACCCGCACTCACCTGGGTGGAGTCCTTCACGTCGGTGACTCTGTCCTTGGTTACCACCTGACTGGTACCAACTTCAACGACCCCAACTTCGAGGCGATCGAGGCTAGTGGCCAGTACAGCTCCGCTATTCCCGATGTTGTGCTAGTGAAGAAGTTCTATGCCCGCAAGAAGAAGAACAAGAACCGCAACTGGCGTCTTAAGCGCATGGCTCTCGAGTACGAGGAGGAAGCGGCGCAGCAAGCGGCTGGCAACCTCAACCGTAAGCAGGAAGCCGAGCGTAACCGCCTTGAAGAGGACTTCGAGATGTTCTTGCGCGATGTCGAAGAAGATCAGGAACTGCGTGGCACTCTTGATCTGTACAAGGCACGGAGAAGTGCCCCTGTGGAGCAGGGTGGCATGGATATGGACGAGGATAGCGATGACGAGGAGGTGCCCAAGATCAACATGGACGAGCTGCTTGATGACTTTGACGAGTTGAACATGGACGATGACCATTAAGTTCCACGGGACTTTCTTAATCACGACTGCACATAGGGGTTTCTGGCGTTTTCATGGCTATTCTGATATCGTTATGGTTAACAATATCCGGTCTGATACACAAAAAGTTATCATAGATGAAGTGAATGATTAGACATTGGTTAGGATTGAAGTCTGACTGGTATTCCTCAACTGAAGTATAGCTTCACGTCCGAGATGATCATCGTGAATATAGTAGGTGGCAGTAACTGCGGGTATTGAATAGATCATTTCGGGTGCTCTACTATCTAAATTCAGATGCTGCAGGCCTCATCTTCTTCCTTCCACACATTCTATCATATCCTAGATTTACAGTCCACTCGCGAACTCTATCGCACTAATCCAAGGGAGAACCAATCCCACCCAAGAACTTGTAGTATAGGCTTTCATCCCACAAGTCACTTCATTACTACACAATGCCCTAACCGCTCTGGCCCCAAGAGAAGGTTCAGAGATGGCATGATGCAGTAAACCTAGGTAGAAGAAACACCGAAGGATCAGAAAAGCTGGTTCTTTTCAATCTGCTGGTACAAAGAGTACATTCAAAGCACTGTTCGAACAAACAGTGCTTTAAATATTTGCATCCTTATCACAATCGAATCCCGCCGGTCTTTTCAGCAACCGTGACACCCGGCCAGCAATGAGGCGAAGCCCCCCCTAAAGGGCCGTTAGAGCCTGTGGGTATGAATCAAAATAGGTCCGAACACCACAAAGTTGTGGATAAAGCAGACTTTTGTCCATAGGATGGAACTGAGCAAGATGCTCAATTATGGAGGCTCTCAGTATCGCTGAACTGGAGGACACTTCTACAGCAAATGACACAAGAAGTGAACGAAGAGGTCCCGTCGTCGTCATCAAACTAATACTGCGAAGCAGTAATACTCTGCCAGTATTCGAAATAGAAGCCGCAGGGCGATTAGGCATTGCCACAAACGGTTGACCTGCGTCTTCCAAGACGAAAACTATCAAATGATACATTGAACACTCATGACATAAACGACACGACTTATCCCAGACGTTTGTCCAAGAACTGGAGTCTTTGGCAATACTCACCTGTCTATAATGGACGCTGCTTCATTGTTTTGCCAGTCGCCCATCTATCTGGATTTTTGTGAAAATACACTGGCATGTCAGACACCAAGCCGAATTATTCCCCAAGATAGGATCTGAGGATTCGTCGATGACAATCCTCCGCAGCGATTTATGAGCACGCGCTGACGGCTAATCGCAAAATATGGAGACGATGAATTCCACGATACTTATAACATCGAATGAGTCACAGATGAGCTTCGGGATTTCAGGACAGGGTTGCACAAGGAAGTTAAAACTGACACGAGACTGGAACATCTTCTGCCACAGGAGTTCGATAGCGTTACTTTAATATGCTCTGAAACTGTTCATGACATCTTGTGGAACACAATAGACTACTTCACCTGCACATTTATACCTACTCCTTGCAGGGTCAATCCAGGTTTTCTTCCTATATACTGACTTGCGTTATTAGACATCGTTGAGCTACCGCATCAGCACGATCATTGCGGCAAAACAGAAGCACGAGAAAGTAGCATGTGCACTCTTTACGACGTCCACTTTATTGTCCTGTTAACTGCAATTTCTTTGAGAAGAGATACTCGACTCAAGGTGAATTCTCGTTTTTGGTATCCAAATAATCCTGCTTGAAATTTCATTGCTATTAGACAAGGGCTAATACAGCATTTGCCCTTGAAACCTGATCTCATATCAACTCTATGGAATCATGAGTCTTCAGAGACAATGCCAGTAACTCCGATTTATTTGGCTATTTATCTCATGTCTGGTTGCTGCTCTAGACAACAGCTCACTGAATACCGATTCGATGCGTGCCTGAAATCTAGCTAGTGGATACCAGTTCTTCGGTCAAGTCCAGATGCGCCCTCGTTTCCAACTGTAATCGCACAGAGGCCTTATAAATCCTCGAAATCTCTCCACTAAACAGGATTGTTCAATGCAGTGCGACAAGATGATCTCTGTCCAAGTAGGCACTAATCTCATGTTGCATATGATGACGAGCCCATCCAGCTGGACCTTGGAGAAGGGCACACTTGGCTTGCTTCCTTGATTGAGTAAGCAAGAAAACCTGTTTTCTATGATAGAAAAACCAGTGAGGTAGACAAGGACAGCTGGATGGGCGTTGAAAGGAGTACTAGTGGAGACGCGCTCTCCTAGTCAATCAACAAACCCATGGGAGTAAGTTGGTAGTTGTCTCAAAATGCTAGATTTAGTCGATGGTGCAGCCCATGGTCAGATGTCGCCGGTGGAATTAGATAGCTCTCTCGTATTGCAATTCGCTGTTGCGCTTATTGCCCGGGGATGATGGCTATGTGGTTTGGGCCTCGGCGTTGAAGTCCTATTTGGATGTTATTGTGGAAATGGCTCGTGTGCAGTATCCGGATGTAGAGGAGGAGGTCGCGTCGGATAGCGAGAGTGACTTTGGCGGATACGTGACGTCTCCTGAGGTTGCCGATCTTGTTTCCGCGTTCCCCGTCTTCGTGCCCACCCTTTGGAGGGCTCTTGGGTGTAGATGTGGTTTGCTTGGCGAATTGGGGACGGAATGAGCTGGTTACGTTTGCGCGTCGCCCACTCCCCAAGAAGGGCAGTGTCATTGCAGAGACCTTACTGCAAGACCTGCAAGAAACCTCACTCTTATGAGCGACCCTCATATAACGCCCCTTGGGCTTCGATTCCCCATTCTTATGATCGAAGCAAAGTCTGCCGCAACTGGAGGAAACCTATACCAGGCACAAAATCAAGTTGCGGTAAGCGGTTCGGCAGCACTTCGGATATTCGAGGCTTTTTCTGATCTACAAGACCTGCAAGAAGAATATAGGGAATTCACTGAAAATATGAGTGGACCAGAATCCTCAGAAACCTATCGATATTTTACAGGAGTCAGTGTTCTGTTCCTTACGGGTCCAAATTACCTTACTATATGAGTGATTGCTTCCACTTTGGCGGTTTGAAGGACAGAAC